TAAGACCCTCTACGGTGCTGTTCCAGTGTTCAGAGTTCTTTCTCTCTAAATTATACCTAAAGTGCTTACAAATGCAGAAACTGCACTCGATGAATTGCAACTATTAAACCTAATAAACTGGTTGCAAAAAAATGTATTTATGACTTTCATATAATCAACTTTAGAAGTTAAAAAGTGAGATTTTTTAAATCATTTCAAAATAGTAACAAGAGAGCCAAAGGTCTCTCGCTTGACTTTGGTAGGAACAATACTTAAGGGGTAAAATATCCCTTTATGGAACGTTTTAGGCACAACCTGGGCAAGGACACAGTTTACTTAATAATGCTGGACCTGGGAGATCGAACCTTAGACTTACCAAAACATGTGCTTGTTTCAGAGCACAGAAATCCAATCTTATTCAGATCCACAAATTTAACTAGTCCTGAAAAACATCATCTGACATGCAATAATGGACTGCCATGCTGACAATGCTGGCTGGCACTTAGAGCCATTGATTCCAATAGCCTGGTTTAGCATTCAACTAGAAATTGACAGACAGATCAACGTTCTGGAAAAGTGTAACAAAAAGTATACGGATTCCCAGCACTAACACGAATGACATTATCAGCAATTGTTACCAACAATACCCTAAAGAGGAGACCAACAAACTCTTCCTTCCTACTCAAAAATCTAGTACAGGGCTTTGTCAAGCATGTGCTAAACTTGACCTAGTAGGAGATAGGAGCTGCAGGGGTAAGGTCTGCTCTGAGCTTTCTCCTTTGTTCTCATCAATGCTCCTCTGGCCCTTCCTCCTGCAGGCAAGCAAACCCTGAGAAACCTAGCTGCCAATAGTCTGGGTCTGGCTCTACCCAGCTACAAAGGACTAGGAACAGCTTGCAAAGAAATAGCTCCCATCGAGGGGCCTCTCTCTGCACATGTAGGAGATGGGCTCTGAGGCCAAAGTGCAGGGATCTCACAGGATGCTCCCAAGAGATGTGGCACCAGAAATAAGAGAAACTGTGACTCACATGTCTGTGGGGCTTCCTGGGTGCCTTAAATAGGAGCCTTCACAGGTGAAATCGTGCCACAGCAAAGTCTGTGACGCCAACATCCTAAAAGCATGAATTAACACCTACCCAGCTTCTATCCAGCTCAACTCTGCTTGAACAAAAGCAAAGGTGCCTTCCCTAACATGATAGGATATAGTGTCATAGGTTCTCTGGTTTATTTCTAGGAGTTGTTACTATAAATTCTTTTATACACTACATTTTTCAGCCCTAGTTCTAGCCCCACTTATTTGTGACAGTTTGATTTTATTTAAGACATCTCAACTAACCAAACCTACAGATCAGAGTGATGCTGGATTTTTTTTTTTTTTAAACCCAAGGAACACTGAAGACCTGAGTTCCTCTAATTTACACTACATCTCTTCATCTCACAGACAAAAGTGTCTGAAATTGGTAGAAGAAACACAGATGTTTTTTAAATTATTTGGTCTATTCTAAATTTCATGATATTCTGCAGTAAAAATCCTCTTTTGTGTGCTTAAAAAACAAAAATAAACTCTCCTTATGAATCCAGCCCAACCCACTATAGCCAGAGTCCTATCCCTTTGGAGATTGAAAAAGATCACAATGCACAAGTGTGTCCGGTCAGATGTAACCATTCTAGCTCCCTGCTGCACCTAGAAATACCCTGTCTCTTGAAGCAAGAGAGAGGAATCATTTCCTGATGAGGATGGAGACATGGCAGAAGCCCCCGACTCTGCCCATGCAGCTGGGTCTGCAGGCTCTATTCAACAAACACAAAATCAATGTGAAAATTACATGTACAAGGCAAGGCCTATGGTGCTGTTAATGTCCCTTTGCTGGACACACACCTGAAGTCTCAGAGCCCTCCAGGGGTTTCTGTGGAATAAAATTAGATTCTAACATCTGCCACTATTAAGGAAAAAAACTCCACTTCCATCTCCCATATGAAAACACTGAAGCCAATGAACGGTAACAGAGCCTTGACACGGTAATGGTTATTACCCAAATCAACTATTTTTTTTAAAACAGTAAAATTAGCAAATCCTGCTCACATAATAATTTGAATGTTATCAGACTAAATGTTTGATAAAATTCCAATCTGACTCACCCGGGAAAACGGCTGCCTATTTGAATGTCCCAAATAAAAAGTATATTCTTATAGCTGTTTGCATTATGTTCAAGAAACATCATCTTTCAGGTTTGCAGTAGCTGGCTTTTCTAACCAAGCACAAAAGTGGCCTACCTTCAGTCTTCACCCACATATTTCATTTAGACATTTCTTTTAGCGTTAAAACAATCTCATTTCTATTATTCATCAAGGAGATGAGATGAGATGTAGTACTGGCTAAAAGGCAGAATCACCATGGATAGGTTCCTTCTAGACAAAATACTTCATGCATTAGTCACTGTAGAGTGTGCTCTCCTTTTAAAATGGAAGATATTCCAAATACATAAATACATGATAAATAAATCATCCTCCGGCATGGAGAGGACTGAATCTCTTACATTATAAACACTGTCCATTTGTGTATAGCACTCTATAACCTAAAGGCTGATATGCACACATTGTATTTTATACACAACCCTCCTGGAGGATGGTATTTTCTTCTGATGAGCTCAGGATCACTTATCTGAGAAGTAAACAATTTTCTTAGAAGTTACAAATTTTTACCATGTAAAGGTCAGTTTTGAAGCTTTTCTGTTTGCTTTAGGAAACATGAGAGCAGAAGAACAAAACCTAAATTCAGCAATACCTTTGTTGGTCAGATTTCCTGTTATGATACATACAATCTTTGAATTCTCACTCACAAGGAGGGTGGTATAATGTCTAAACTAAATAACCAAGAAAAACTACAAAAATGTTGCAGGAAGTAGAATACATTAGTGATAGGGAACAGCCATTCAAGGGGATGAGAGTCACATGACCACTTGGCCTACAGCCTCTACCTGGCTTCTTGGAGTTTCTTCAGCCACTAATAGGAAGAGAAGTTTGGGGTATTCTTGGGACACAGACAGATGGAAGATGCTCAGAAGATATTCATCAATACTATAGAAATGTAGATGTGCGGCTCAAAGAACGACAGGTAAGAATGAAAAAGAGGCTTAAAGACACCACCGGACATCAAGCAGACCTCCACTAGCCAACATGGTTCCAAACACAGGCATTCTCTGCAATCACTTAAGAAAGAGTCAAGCCACAGGTGGCTAAGCACTTATCACAAAGGAAACAGGGAGGGGTAGAAGTAGCAGATGGAGTTCAATGACAGGTGACAGGCAACTAAACAATGCGAATTGAAAGCTTTAATATAAATTTTCGTTAGTTTTGTTTCATGGCTGACCTGATTATAAAAATGTGTATCTAGCTCCTCCATTTTGGAGATTTGGAGAAAGTGCCTGGCCTTTATAGGAAGGCAGTCTATTATGTAACTGGACAGGCCAGGGTGGGGTGGGGGGTGTAGGATCAGAAAGAAAGGCAAAATAATATATATTTAAATAAGAGATCCTCATCATAATTAGACTAAGTAGTCAAAACAAGAGTGTTGGGGTGGGTGGGGAGAGTGAGACAGGACATTTCTCCTTAACGCGTAGTCTTGGCATGTAAATGAAGACATCTGAAGATGCACACAGGTTTGAAGCGGTTCTAACATTCTATCATAATTAGAAACATTTCAAGAGCCCTGTAATTTCCAATCAAAATTACAGTAATTTCCGATATGCAAGCCATGATTCATGACAGAGTTTTACATTCCATGAGAGATTGCGGTGGCCTGATGTATGACACGCTGAGTACAGCAGTAACATAAACAATTCAGTTTAATGTTTAAACAGTACTTGATGTTTAGAATCTCACAATAAAAGAAACATATTATTGTAGAAATTATCACTTTGACAGTGATTGAAGGGTAAGGCAGGCATGCGGCCTATAAAGCTATAATTTTTTACAGTCCACAGCTTGAGTTTAATCATTTTTATATAACATTTCCAAGATATCCCTTAAGTATTCATCCGGCCTACAACTTAAACAGGAGCAACATGTTTCTAAAGTAAAACCCCAATTAAGTACCATTATTAACGCAGACAGAGTAAAATTTTAGGAAACGCCAAAAAGTATTGTGCTATAAATTTTCACGATGTAAGTACTCCCAGAATTGTCCATTTTATCACATATTGACAACAGTTAGGATGTTATATAAAAAAGCATTTAATAATTGTGAAAATAGAATTATGTAACATTCCAAGTCTCACCCAAGCCCTTGTGTGCCCTTAAGTCCCACCTCTGTGTTACCAAGTCCTTTGGTGAAAGGGAAGGGAGTTTTGTATTGTAAGCTTTTAAAAAGTATTCCTGGCTCTAGTGAAGGGCTAAGACACAATGCGAGTTTGTTCTAGCAGATGATTCGAGTAAATAATTACCAATATAGGAGAGTCTTATTTAAATAAGAGAGCTGGTAATAGGCTCTATGATCTGGCTGTTGTTTTTAAACTTGAAAAGGTCTGTGACTGCCAGTTTAACTCTATGCAGTCATCAGAGATGGACAAGTTTTGTGAGTATAGTGTAGTTTAAACTAAAATCACTCATATGCAAGTGGTTTGTTTTAGTAACTACCAAACAGCCACAGGTAAACTAGTTGTAAAAGAAGTTGTATGATGCTTTTAGAATAAAATTGAACACCATCTGAGGAATGATGAAGCAATAGTAATTTACATGTTCTATTATGAAACTCTACCCTAGTAAACTGTACAAGATAGTCCACTTCTGAAAGCAACTATTAACTGTCTCAGAGACCCCCCCCCAAGAAATTCTTGGTCTAGGAGTGGCTGCTGGGGGGTCCAGGGAACCCAGTGTCTACAACCTACACCCCAACACTACTGCTCAGCAGAGTTCTCTACATAGTACAGGAGGCTGCAGCCTCCCAGCGAACAAACATGTCTTTCGTTGACTGTGTACAGGCATGGCAGATAAACACTCTGCTGCCTGATAGTGGTACTGACCTGGCTTTTTGTGGCGGCAACCTTTGCAAATAGTGCTTGGGACACTTTAGCACGCTTCATTTCCTGCTGAATCTCGTCATAAATGGAGGCATTAATGTTCATAGTATTGTTCTCTGGTTTCCCATTCCTCTCAGTGGCAAGAGTAGCTGTTTTCACCTACAAAACATTTTGAACATGGCTGTCATTTTTCATTAGCCAAATTGATTCAAAGCTTCTCAGGCCCAGCATCCAAGCTGGGCACCATTACTCCTTTTATGATCAAGGTGATCAACAGTGCGGTCATTCGACATTAGTTATTGCCCTGAGATCAGATTGCTTAAGTTAAGGAAGTCACACTGTCACAGGTGATTGCATCCATAATGTGACAGCAACTGCCAGATGACAACCAGGAAAAATAATGCCATAAAGTAAGTTTTCTGGAAAAGAGAGGGGCTTCAAGGACTTGAAAACACTAAACTAATTGTCTCCCAATTACCTCCCATTCCAGCCCTAACAAAGGAAATTCACAATTAAAATCATAATGCACAGTGCTGTGTCTTCACTGGGTGCCCAGTGCCTAATAGAGAGTTACCTCACTGATAGCCGTTATATACTATGGCCTTTTTAATTTTAGACTTTTTAAAAATGCCTTTCCCTCTTATGTTTCATTTTAAAAATCTTCCATAATAAAGCCATTTACAGAACTGCATATTTAAATCTTCTATCCATCCATGAACAGGTAGAAAGCCTTGCTCAATTATCGTAAAGGCTGGTTGCATTTCACACATGATGTCCAAGCTGTTCTGTCTGATTATTTCATCTTTTCCTGGCATTCTGCTAGGAATGACTTCCTTTTGACTTATAGAACTAGACAAGAAGAAAATGTTTCTTAGAATGTAATTGAACATTTCTGTGAGTTAAACTATATCATTAGTGACTCTACAAATATATTCAAAATGTATAATCACTCAAAAATTTGTACCAAGCAGAGATAGTTTAAAAAAAAAAAAAGTCCTCAACCAACAAGGACTAGTGGTTTGAAAGCCAAATCTCAACCAACAAAGACTAGTGGTTTGAAAACCAAATCTCAACCTTAAAATGATAGTGTTATTATTTTTAATTCCAATTTTAATTTTTATCATGCATTTGAATGAAATGGTCTTGAAAATTTTCTTATGAACAATTAGCTGAAATTTTCCCAGGAAACTGGTGAAAATGTAGTGGAAATCTTAGTATAGAGACAGGATCATGCTTCTTGGCCAAGAGAAACAATAAGGAACTCACTCATAGGGCCTTCTATGGAGAGACTAAGGTTTCTCCAGAGAGTGAAGTAAACTTTGAACAACAGAAAAATGAAGCACATTAGGTGGATGCACAGATAATAAATATCAAACTGTGGTGTTCCGAGTTAATTTCTATCTGTTCCCCTCAAAAACAGTTTGCATGAAAGTTAGCAGAGGTTGCCCCAGAAGGAGATTAAGTTCTTGAAAGTAAATATAGGTTCCTTGAAATGTACCTTCTGAATCCTTCAAACATCTAGCCTGGAAGCAAAGTCATTGTCCCTGACTTACCTCCAGAAGCAAGACACAAAACAAGACCCCCTCCACCCCAATCCCAGCAGTGGAAGGAAAGTATCAGGCTGTGCAATGGCTGGCTGCACCTCAGGAAGTGACAAATACAACAGGATGGGTAACACTGTCACCTGTTCTCAGTGGGAGTGGCAAGAGATCTCCAGGGCTCCTTTTCCAGTTCTGGGTCTATACCAGCAAGGGGTACATTAAGACTGGAGGCCACAAAAAAACGCACAGGGCTTTGAAGCCATAATCTTCTAAACAGCACTTTAGGAGCAGAAGAGTTAACACATTACCATAAATTGCCTACAAAGTTGCTTTGGTGAGATTTGAAACTTTGCTCTGGGGTGGTCTTGCTCTGAGGCAGAGGGATACATTTGATCACCCCATGGGGTCCCTTCTAATACCTATTTTTCTCACTGCTTAAATGAAAGAGAAAAGCCATTTCAATTGCTTTTAAAATTGAATGTTATGGAAATGGGGGCCCCAAAGTCCATCACACTGGAAGACAATTGCTACCCGTTCCCGGGTAGCAATCTGTGTAGCAACAGGAACAGCTCTGGTTTTAGGAATCTTGGGATTTCACCTGGACTTACAATTTTCACTTTTTTTGTAAAATTTAAATTGGAGAGTTTAAGTTTCTGTTTCTAAAATTTTCTTGAAGTTTTCTACAAAGCAATTACAACTTGAACCAAGAAGCAAGAATCCCCAACTCCCCCCCCCCAAAAAAAAAAAAACCACTCATTTCCTCATGGGGAGGAAGGAGCAAAGAAGCATTAAGAGAAAGGAATGTGGGGAAATTTTTAAAAATATACAGTTAGTACCTGGCTGCATTACTCAGTTAAAAAGTATTTAGCAAAGCTCTTCTTGCTGCCCAGATATGCATCTTATCACAGATAAGCCATTAGAATTCTAGAACCACATTTTTTCCTAAACACAAGCTACTGCTTAAGGGGAACTGACTTGGGCAGCTTTTCAAAATATGAAAGCTGAATTTTTCCCCAGGTAAAAAATGGAAACAAAAATCTTTTCTACTCCACTCTACTAAGTACTATTTTTGCTTAGTACAAAAAAAAGTCATCTTTAATCCTGGTTTAGCTTTTAATATTATATCATCCATTAAAATTCATAAAGTAGTTCATCCCAGGCAAAACAAACTACTCTTCACTCTTCTCCACAAATAGCACAGGAGGTGAAATAAATGCAGTTGCAATCGGAATAGCTTTTATCAAGGTAGGGCACACTACTCCATTATTACGGTGGCGCCAGGGAAGTGGTTAAGATCCGTAGCTTCTATTTACCCTCCCGTGTGGGGCACAGGCTGCAGCACTGGGGTCTGCTTTTCATTTCACTAAAATTGCGCCGCAGAGCACACATTGTACATGAAAATTCTAGTTTGCTTCTTCACTGATTGCCAAATGCATCATACTTTCAGACTTATGAGACTGATACCCTTTGGTCTGAGTGGGTAAGTGTGCTGTACCTGTAGAGCATACGGCTCTTACACATACAAGAAGAAAGTTTTATGTTTCTTCAGTAATTATGAGACCGGAGACTGATATCCACTGGCTGCTTTATGTGTGAACGTATCTTAGCCCTTTGAACTATGTAGAGAAACACAGTAGTTGCTATCATTACTCTATTTTAAAACTGGAAATGTTATAACAGAGGTAAAGTAAGTTGCCTCCTGCTCCCGGCTAAACTCTAAACTTGCTGAAATCTGTGCTTATCTCAGAGACCAGGGAGTTATTGGCGTATGTTCTTCTGTGGGGTCTTGTTATTTAGAAAACATTCTAGAGACCAAGACTTGTTGGGCCTGCTTCGCAGAAGCCCTTTGCTAAGTCTAGTCATTAGGTTCTAAGTTTTAGAAGCTAATGGTTTATAATTAACATTAAAAGTCTAATATAAATTTATTTTCCAATGTATACTTATTCCTCCTCTTAATAATTCTGTTGGATGGACAACAGTCCTATATAACACTGCTTTCAGTCATGGTTTGAACTTTTTAGAGCTGTCTTTCTTTCATAGAAACAATATTATTTTTCAAATCTAGACCTGAAAAAGTCATACCCTTTACAAGACAATCATTAGTGGGAAGCAATCCCCAAGTACATAAAAGTCAATGTTTTCCCAGGAATCCACAACAAGAAACACTCTCCTCATGTGCTGAGTTCATGCCTGTAACTGGACCTGGAGCCAAGATGAGCCTATGTTTCATCATACCATGAGGGATTCCTTGTGAAATGATAGAGCAATGCAGGGCCAGATGAATTGCACGATCCTTACATGGACCTAGTACATTTCCTAATACAATTCTGTGAAACATCACACCTTACTTGGGAAGAAGCTAAAGAATCCCAGGAAGAGATGCAAAAGAGTTTAAAGGACGGTATAATTCACTTAAAAATCACAACTTGTCAGATGGTTCTTACAGAAGTTAAAATTGGGCAATTAGCTCCAAGAGTCAACATGTATAAAATTACACAAGTAACACCTACAAATAAGGCCTAAGGGAGAGGGCATTAGCTTAAGCCTATCTGTTCTGCAGGACAAATCATCCCCATGAAATAATCATTCATTTTTATTTATAAAAAAAAATCCCTCTATTAAAAATCATTAAGCAACTTTGCACAACATAGCCGGAAATCAAATCTGTAAGACAGACCATAATGTCCTTTCTTATGATGAAGGTTTCGAAGATGGGTTTTCTTTAAAATACCAGAAATATCACTGTGCAAAGTCATTCCAAATAGATCATTTGTCAAACATTTGTTTCATCCAGACAATATTCTCGAACATTCTTCCTTCTAATCTAACAACACAAATTCCCATTTTCTCTGACTTCCATCCTTTTCTTAAAACTGTGTATTTTGATGAGATGTCGTGAGGTAAAGGAAAATGCAACAAATTTAATTAGGATTTGAAAACTTTAATTAAAACCCTTCACTCAGTTTTTTCATTTTTCTCCTAGCAAAAGGTTGGTATTAGGATTCAATGAACTAATGTATGTGAAGGTGCTTAGAGAGCTGTGAACCATTAGCAACTACAAGGTATTTTTTTTCTTTGTTCATTACAGCATGAAACTTAGGAAAATATGCCTCTGACAATTGGGGTTGGCCCAGACTCAGACAGAGGACAATGACCTTCATGGTTGCCTCTACTGGATTATCCAAAATAGGTCTGCACTAGGGAGATCATGCCATGGCTGGGTCAGCTGTGAGCTTTGTTTCCTATAGCTGGGCCATCTCCCAGTAAGTATTTGTAGGACATCTTTGTGGAGACTATCCAAGGAAGTCCCATATTCAAGATGACTTAAAATCTAAGTTCCTCACAATAGTTTAGCTCCTTGGTCTAGGATACTCCAAGAACATTGTAAAACTCTTCCCAAAATGTGAGTGAGCTACATACTGTAGGAGCAGAAGGGATTGCAGTCTCCCAGGCTTAACCTTGTCTTGTGTGTCCCATGAGTCACCAAGGACCTCTCCTTTCACCTCTGATGGGATTTTTAGTTTTGTTTTCAGAAGGAATCAGAGTTCAGGTCCCAGCCCAGATTTGTCTCAAAATGGGTTCCAAATGCATAGTGATTTCACAGAGACTTTTTCTTGATAATGTATAAAACTGAAGACAGTGTTGAGGCTGTCTCTGTGGTGTTTCCCACCTTTTTGCTCCAGTTTAGTTACCTGTATTGGGCACATGAACCTCTCTTGGGGTTCAATTGTAACTTCAATGGCCAATTCAACACAGTTCTAAGTCTCCAAGCTTGACATCATGCAGGGAGATAAATAGATCATCTTTTGTAGTTTGCTGTGTTGCTTTAACAGTAAAATGTAACCAATTGGCAGTGGCACAGATATAACACTGAGTAAAGCAAACCGAGTGACAGAGGAAGAGACAGGACACTCACCTCTGGATCTGGTGAGACAGCCAGTCAAACCACACTAGGAGAAATCTGGAAGTTTCTCACCAGGGAGCTACAGTGCCTACCCACTTCCTGTGTTCACCCCAACTACAAGTTTGGTTAGTCTTAACCCCCGATGAGAACAAACAAACACTGTGAAGGGTGTCCCAACTAGGAAACCTTAAACTTAGGATAAAGTAAATTACATACATTTTCTATCCCATATAGCATGACATATAGTGTTTTTATAAATACACACACAGTAAATTGAATATATATCATATATTGAATATATTCAATATTGATATATTGAATAGTATCTTAAGATTGTATGAAAAGAAATATCACTTAAGAACTAATACAACTTTGGCTCAGAAAACAATGAATACAGATTATCATGATCATCAGAACCATATGTAGAAAATAAGACTTCTCATATTCTACAAGATGAAGGCTGTTTAAAGACAAATTAACTGGGCATATTGAAAAGAGAAGATGGTCTTGCTAAGAGTCACATTATTATTAAAGAAGAATTTTAGACACCTCAGAACAAGAAAGGGTAAGGCCAGGCTGGTGTCCCCAGGTGCAGAGTCACCATCTGGATGGTTTCCACAAAAGAGTAAGGGTGTGGAGAACACCAAAAGTCTTCAACTTCTTTATCTAATGACCTAACCAAGTCATATACATACTCACAGAGTTCCTAGTTCTGTATTTTAGGAAATATTTTATAGATGAAGTTATCAATCAGTATGAGTAGGAAGGCAGCTTATACATGAACATGGTGACCCCTCTCACACAATGGCACTAACTTATCACAGCCTACAGACATTCAGACAGATTGATTTCCATTAAAAATAGATTTTAGAAATAATTTCTTTAAAACATTCTGTCAGCAGTTAAAGAACCTCCACCAATAGCTGGAGTGTGTGCCTGGTCCTCATTTGCAGAGTTCCTGTCACAGCTTCATTTCTCTATACTTCTATGCTGTGTTGATTGTTGATGAAATCATCTACGCATGACTATGACATTATATCCCATGAGTACTCTGAATTTGTGTTCCACGCTCACGCTCAACTTTTTAAACAACTTTGAAAGTTGATCTTAGTTGTATGGGTTATACCTGCCACAAACTAAACATGGAAAAATATATTTGCTTGTGGAGTTTATGTCTAAGCTACTGAACTTTTATCTAATGGTTTGTAGTGAAAGTAAGTTTAACACTTGATTTAAAGCAGTAATGCACAATAATGTTAACTAGAAGGTAGATTCAATTTTCCTTCCTAAAAAGTGGAACATTTTGAAGAAAATGAAAATGTGCCCATTTCTGGGAATTCACACAGAATTCTTTATCAGTCTCACTTAAAAGCTCCCTTCAAGGATTGTATTAAACTTAATTATGAAAGATTACAAATGAGATGATAATGTAATTGGTACCAGCTGCAGTCTGTATTGGAAAGCATAAATATAAATGAAATTATTTATTTTTTATTTACTATTCAAATGGCAATCCTCAAACTAGTGACAGTAACCAGGTAGTACTATTTCTGTTCTGAGGTGAACAGAATGTGTCTGTAGTGACAACAGTAGAGATAGCTATGTTGTTTCTTCAACCCTCAAGAACCCAAAGACTTGTAGCAACACAAGGCAGTTTTCTTTTCCCTAATTAGGAATGGACTGTGTTTCATCAAAACTAGTGATTTGGGATGAAATTCCCAGGCAAGTCTATGGAACTTTTAAAAATATCTATGCAACTTCTTGCTGAGAGTCATCATTAAAAATTTTTAGGACAGGACAAAGAACTGCAAGGAAGAGGTGAGAGCACCTGGGGAGGACGACTGGGCGGGGTGCTTAGCAGCGGAGCAGGACCCATGGCAGAGGCAGCGTTCAAGCTCCTTTCCCTCTCATCCTGGTATATCCGGTCTCTTTCGGCTTCTGGCAACTGTAAGAAATTCTGCATAGCCCGAAGGTTTACCAGCAGAGACTGGGATGCAGTCTTGGGGTCCTCTTCTTTTCGGAGGATTTCAGAAAGCAATCCCTACAGGGGAAAAGAGACACAAGGTGAGCTTGCTGCTTGCTCCAGCCAGGGTGAGGGGAGTGTCCTACCCCTTTCCATGCCCCTCAGAAAGGGGGCAGTCAGAGGCTTTGAATCTCTCTCTAGGAATCTATTAGCTCCAACAGCAATGGTGGAGAAGAGAGCCTCGATTGTATCCTTCATTTTATGAAGCATCTGCTTTACATGTAGCAGAAACTGAGCCGGCCTAATCGGTCTCCTCCTTTTGAGTAGCTTAAGTTGCTGTGAAATCTTTCATAGAAAGATGGCAGAGGAAGTTAGGAGTAAGTGAAATCTCCAGAGCAAACAGCATTGAATGGTACAGTTTTCAAGCTGCCAGACAAAGGCACAGGCAGCCAACAACAGACACAAAGCCATTTCCAGAAGAACGAACTGAGCACTTGAGGAAGATACCAGGAATGAAGCTGCAACACATCACCCAAGACTACTAAAACTTTGTTCAATTTGTTATTCCTTAATCTCCAAATAACAAAGTGTCACAGCTGGCCATTTGAATTTGCTGTTCAAAGAGAAACAGACCACTACAAGCAATTGTAAAATGTTCTTTACCATTCCAGTAGGTAACAGGTTGAAAAATCTGAACTTCAAAAACCTCAGATCATGCCTGAAATACACAACCACTCTTCCACACTGTAAAATTGTATCCCAAAATTTGACATATTGATGAGAGTATCATCAAATCTCTTGAAAACTAAAGATCACTATTAGTAACAGTGGAAACTCAAAAACTACTAGAAACTTCCCTTAAGTTTAAGAAAACACCTTAAGTTAAGGTGTTTTTCTTCCCTTAACAATGTAGTATTATTAAAAGTTTTCTTTTTCCTTTGGAAGAATTTGTTTTTTTAAATGGTTGGTGTCCTTCCAATGCATCTGGAGGACAGTATGAAGAAGATGTACCACAAAGGCTACTCTGGTCACGTGATAAGACTAAGTAGTTCCCTGTCCTCAACTTCACACATGCAGTAATGTGTGGGAAACTGAGATGCCCTGCTTCCATTACTTACACACATTAGCAACTAACTCACAGTAGTCACAATCAAGACTTCCGAATGACTGGACAAGCCACCTCCACCAAAACTCTGCAGAAATGGTCAAATGTGTGCATTTGAGTGAGAGAAGGCAAAATGGACACCCCAAAGTTTTAATATTTGAGGATTGTTATGGTTTATTGGAAGTATAAACCTGGTTTTCTTCCAAATTTCTCAAGTCATGTTGCCTGATATAGCACATGGATACAGATAGGATAAGAACATTGCCCATTTAAAATAATCATTTGATTTCTAAGCTGGTGTTTAAGAGGAAAAGAAACCTCCAGCAAGCTCTGGGAAATTGAGTCAATCATAAATAAATCTCTCAATTGGTCTACTGCAACCAAAGCCTGGACATGATATCTGAACTTTCATAAGAAATGTCACTTAAGACTGTCCTTTAGGTCACGACTAGTACCTGCGACTAGGTCTGTGTCTACTGAGAACCAAACTGAACTTAGATTCAGACAGGCAGGCAGCCATCCAGCTATTTAACCTGTACTGGGATATGTCTTATAGAAATGAATACACAAATCACAACAGTCATTGCTCCTGCAAAATATTCTATACTTAAAAAACAAACAGCAGCAGCCAAACCTTTGAAACCAGGCATGGTGGCATGGCTGTAATCCTATCCACAGGAAGGCCAAAACAGTAAGGCCATGCTTTTAAGGCCAACACAGTGAGACCTGGTCTCAAATAGATGAATAAATAAATAAAGGAAGCCAAGAAAAAAATGTGGCTAGTAAAGCAATATATAGCAACTGTATAGGAATGCAGAAGCAGACAGGAGCATTGAGTGTGTACAAAATGTCACGAAACCCTCAAGCATAAGAATATAGTTACTTCTGTCATCTTAGCCCAATGTCTTATACTTCTGTTATAAATAATACTAAACAATTATATGGATATAGACTGCAGAAATGAAAAAAAAGAACATTAGAGTATATTATAGTGGTCATGACAAGCTACCACTAACATTACTACAAAAGCAATGCCATGGCCCTTTCAGCCAAGCCACTCAGGGCCATCACTAAAAAGTCACCATTGCATGGTACTTGGTAAAACATCTATCTTTATAAGGCTACTGGCTATTCAGTAAAACATGTATGTATGTATGTATGTATGTATGTATGTATGTATGTATCAGGGCAAAAGATACCTTGTAAATATTTAGGTTTTTCCTACACCAGACCTCTTGAAATTAGACATCTAAAATCTCAAGAGGACAAAGTAATATATTCCATATCTCTATCTCTATTAAAAAATGTTCCACAGCAGAGAACTATAGTGAAAGTCAAACCCATGGGAAAAAACAAAAAAACACAGAAGCACTTTCTCTTAAGTCCTGTGAATAGAACACTGAGCTCGGGTGTGGCTCAGCTAAAAGACAGATTATCACTTGGGAGAAAATTTGGTGTGAAGTCAGCACACGTCCCCATGTGTAAGTACATGAGTGCTGCCTCTGTGGAACCCTTTCCCCCAAACTTAATCATCCCTTGGAGTGGGTGCAGGTTTCCTGCCTGGACTATGCCTATTTCCCAACAGTGTTCCAAACCCCAGGCTTTCAGAGAGCTTCCGGGCAGCCAGTGTAGACAGTATACTGGTTCAGAATTTTCTTTCTTTTCTTTTTTCTTTTTCTTTTTTTTTTTTTTTTTTTTTTTTTTTTTTTTTTTTTTTTTTTTGGCCCAGAGCTTTCAATGAGGGGAGTGCCCCCTGGTGGAAATGCCTGAAAATATTGTCAGAAACCATATGATAATGTTAATTTTAAAAATTACTTAAGAGTAATGTAGAATAATCTGGATGCAAATAACTACTATTATAATTCAGATACTGGAGTGCATGCCTTGGCCCTGTTCAGGTTGCTGAATGGCTAATGAATTCAGTATGTATATAGTCCCTTTCTCTATTTTGTATCAGTCAGATCTAGTGTAGACAGGCCAGGAAAGGCCAAAGGTCATTTGTATTAATTCCTCATGATTGACTGATACAGACATCATTACCAACAATTCATCACACTACACAAATAGTATGTGAAGACCATGCTCCCTGTCACATCACAGAGGTACCAAATTAAAGTATACCCACTCTGTGTACCATAGGTACTCAATAAATGCACTGAACTAAATTAGGTAAAATCATTAGTAACCTTGTTTCTAAACAGAATCCAAAAACTTTTATGTTGTGAAGGGAGTTCCCAACATGCCATGGATATTAATTTCACTGGAAATAAGAAGCTGCCTTCTTTGGGACTTCACATCTTACAAATAATTAGATGCGTGTTGTATACATGAAAAGGTCAAATTACTCTGCATTGTCATTACTTAGTCGTTAAGTGAAAGCTCTTTTTTTTCAGTTAAAGAATTCATTTACTGATAAATTCCTAAACCTCTCTTTTTCACATTCCAACAAGAGTTATAAAACTTATTACAATTAAAATTCATTAGTAATTGTAAAAGAAGGAAAAAGCCTCCAATAAAAATTATCAGGACTTCCAAAGCTCATTAAGAGTTCTTTAAAACAGCAGATAAGTGCAAGAGACGATGGCCAATCTGAACAAAAAGCCTGCCTGGCCTCCAGCTTGTCTCCTCTCTGAACATAATCACTGATTAAAATAGATTTTATCAGCTCCGTGGAACTTCAAAGCCCTCAGAAAGAAAAAAATAATAATAATTTGAAGAAACCTCTCTCTTGAAGAGAAAGACAGAATATTTTCCAGGGTACCAGCCTGTTTGGTGAGCTCTCGATCACATGACCAGGTGAAAGACTACTTCCAAATTCCACCTGCTCGTGGAATCATGCCAAGCAAGTTATAAGTAGACACGTTCATCTCGGTCCCTTGGTAGACTCATCAAGAGCTGTCACGCCAGATAATGGTAGCTTTTTACCTTTTAGTCAATAGCGATATGGGCAGTGGACTTTTCTTAAATTACACTGTAGAATTATAGGAACACAGGAGCGATTTCTGTTATACTTAAGCAGGCGAATTTGTCTCTACCACATAATTCACAGAGCTCAAATTCAATAAAACATTATATGATGGTCCATTACTGTTATCAGTTTTGAATAATCCATCTTCATTCTTTATTTTACTGGAAAATAAAGTGTGCCAAAGACAGGAGGGAGGAGAAAGGGTGAGAAAAGTCACTGAGCAGGATCAGGGTAAACTCTGGGTTTATGTAAGTTTTTAAAGAAATACATTTGCTTGTATCATACCCTTTAAAGGACAGTATTCCAGAGAGGTGACTGAAATTCACTTCAGGCCATAGGTTTCCATTACAAAGACATCAAGTAGACATAAGTGAATGAGCAGCATATGCTAAAAGCTACTATCTTCAGTAGCAATTAAATAACATATGCCATCATTCAGAAAGGGAGAATCACCTAAAACAAGCAATTATATACATTTCACCATACATTTTCAGAAATGGTAGACTTTTGAACGTCCCATGAGACAGTCTTGAGAGGACTGTGGTTTAATTTGGGAACCCGTTTGAGATAATGAGGGATTCTCATGAGTTAAAACAGGAAGTCCAGGGTTTGAAAGTTACTCAGAACTGTCAATGATTAAAAAAATCCTCAGTCCCTAACCATGCCACCTATTACACCAGTGTTTTACCATAGTCTGTATCGGGTGCAGTGAGTGCAGTGTCTTTCTCTACCCATATCAGAATTTTACCTTTTTATTCCCACATTTTATAGTAATGTTTGAACTCGGGTTGGAAGTGCTTACTGAAAAAACAGCACACCGACTTGAGCTGTGCGATGTAACTGCAGAGCTCTTGTCGCTACATATGCATCAGTGTGTGTATTTTCGTACTCCACACTCACACCCTACTCTCACTCTGCACCTGCTTTTATTGAAATGCATACACTCTGAAATAAACACACTACATGCATTCATATGAATGTATAATCACTGAACTAAATGCAGCTGTGTGTGGGCGCGTGTATATGATTTTTAAGTATGACCACTGAAAAATACATACATGCTTGCGTGTGCAAAAGCTGGTTCAATGAACATCTAAATACCCACACAAAACAACTCATATTTAAATAAATAAATAAATAAATAAACAAATAAATACAGCTCCAAACAAGGCCCAATATCTTCCACTGAGAAATACCAACTACTAATACAAAAAGGTTAAACCTATTTATTAACAAATAATTCTGGACAGTAACTTTTCTTTCTATAAATTGTCCATTTAGAGGCATAAAAAGTGGTATCTGGATGAAACTATACCATGTTGTCCATGCTCAGAAAAATGAACTCACTAATCCTCATCGGAAGCACAGAAAACAGCCTTTTTAAAGACACTAATTCATACAACCAGAGAAAATTCACCACTTACTGCAATAAATCCTACAGATAACCACAAATGTTGTGTGTAAGGACCAAGTACAGACAGACAGACAGATAGCACTTCACAGCCATGATGAGGAAGTGTGCCGAGTCCCCCCTCCACTCTTCTCACACACACACATACACACACACCCCCACCACACACACACACACACACACACACACACACACACAAACACACCACATATCCTGTGTGTTTTAGTATACAACTATTTGCTCAATTTTTCAAGGGCTTATCAGTAAATCTATAATCTGCTTCTGTGTCAGTGCTGTCTTTGTCTAAAGACCTTTAATTGAATTCAACAAACATTACCCGACTTTTATGTAGAGTCGCAGTTTTTGGTCCAGGACTAAGCATTACTAGTAATTACTGTATTTACAAAATAAAGAATGCTACCACAAATCAGAATTTCTAGAGGGTGGCTTTTGATTCACTGATTTTTTTTAAAATTATTGCTCCCAACTGAGTTAAAGGGTCATATTAAATTTACCAGCTAAGAATGAACACAATTTTAAAGCTGTAAAAACACAGATCTTAGTTAAAAAATACAAAGTTTTAACCTAAGACAACACAGTGCAAAAGCCACCCTTTTAAAAACAACAATAATGACTAGAAAAACAGCTGTAGAAAATTTGAAGGAGCCCTATAAAACCCCACCATGTCTTCTGACCCTCAGTCTAACCAAAGCCAGTCAAACACAAATCACAGCTGGCATTCTCCTAGGCTCAGCAACTGCCAACAAGGAATTAATACTAAATTACTTTTGTATCAGAATTGTATCCTCACAATCATAATAAACAAAATAAAGATGAAAAGAAACAAAACTTGAAGATGAAAGGAAAATGAGTCAGACAAAAAACAAAAAAAGAGAAGAGGAAGAGGAAGAAAAAGAAAAAAAAAACAAGGTAAAAACAAGAAAACTGAGAAGACATTACAGCCTCAAAGTTAAATGTTCCTCTTATTTTAGTGTGCCTTGGCTAAAAATAAACATCACGTGTATTATGTTAACATCTAAACAAATAAAACCTTTATAAATACTAGAGATACTATTCTTGCAGAGAAGATTGTGTCTCACAGGAATTTGCCCAGGAGGGAAAAAGTGTAAACACTGGGGATGTTTGTAGGCCTCAATGGGAAGTCTAAACTAAATGCCTGCAGCCAACCCAGCACATGGCCTGATATAGACACAAGTGAATTGCCACCAAGCCACACCCATCCCACCACTGTCCATTGCTAGTGATCTACAGTGTGATCAGAGTTTATGACCTCAAATATTTACTATATAGACACATAAAAAAAAAAGAAAGAAACATGATTTCTCTGGTGTGAGGTAAAATCTGTCAAAATAAACCAGGAACTCTGGACAAAGGGCAAAAGGGCATCAGAAGAAGAGGTGCTTAGAAGCATGGCCAAGCCTCACAATGTGTACACAAAGTACCATAAGAAACCACACTTCAGAGCCAGGCGGTGGTGGCGCATGCCTTTAATCCCAGCACTCGGGAGGCAGAGGCAGGTGGATCTCTGTGAGTTCGAGACCAGCCTGGTCTACAAGAGCTAGTTCCAGGACAGCCTCCAAAGCCACAGAGAAACCCTGTCTCAAAAAACCAAAAAAAATAAAAAATAAAAAAAATAAACACCCACATTTCAGCTGGGAGGCAGTGGTAGCTGTGGTGGCACAGGACTTTAATCCCAGCACTGGGGAGGCAGAGGCAGGCAGATCTCTGCGAGAAAGAAAAGAAACCACACTTTGTACAATGCATATAACTCTACCACAAACATGGGGGAAAATAAGAATGAGGTGTGGAGAACATGAACAAATCATGGAAGAAGGCTAAGAAACGGCTGCAGAGAATTAAATGCAATCACTATTAAGCTGCATAGTATCAAAAGAGTTGAAGAATTTCAACAAAGCACATTAATGTATTTAAGCTTGATATGAACAGAAACATAGAAACAACACTAGGCTAGCCACTTCCTCACCTTCTATTACTAACAGCTTACCATTCCATGAGGAGAATACAGACAATGCCAGGATGTGCCCTTGGAAGAGGAGCACGGCACAGGGACAGAAGTGATGGCACAGGGACCACACTTAACAGAGGTGCCATGTTAACAGAGGTTGACAAAGAGTAAAGGAAAAACATGAGCTTAGATAGGGCTCAGCAAAGACACAAGAGGAGGCAGTAGAACAACAGAACAAAACTGACCTGAGTTCTGTTAAATGCCACTCGTGCAAACACTGCCTGGGAGATTCCCGCTCGCTTCAGTTCATCCCGCACCCACTGGTAGATTTCTGAAGAGACCTCCGTGTTCGTGGAAACCTGCTGCTCCAAAGGCTTATTCATAGACCTACTGACAGGGGGAGGGTGGTTCAAGTACTGTTGGTTTAAGGACTGCTGGGCTAAGAGTCTGTTCACCGCATACTGCTGGTTCAACAACTGGGCCATCACCAGCTGCTGGTTGACTAGCTGAGGACCGATAGGTGTTGACACCAGCCCAGGGTGCAGGTTTGGAAGAGGGGTCCGGACAGAGGGCTGGCTGCCATGGGAGAGCTGTGCGGGAGATGGAGGCTGCTCAGCTGTGTTCCCTGGGACCGGCTGCTGGCCAAAATTGACGTGGTTGGTGCCTTGTTGAGATAGTTCAGACAGACTATCCATTTCAACTAAAGTAGAAAAAAAGGAAAATCAAGTTCAGACAGCAATAAGAAACTTTCTGATCATTTCCTAACATGAGAAATACAAAGAAAGCCCGGGTGGTGATGGCACATGCCTTTAATCCCAGCACTGGGGAGGCAGAGGCAGAGGCAGGTGGATCTCTGTGAGTTTGAGGTCAGCCTGGATCTACAGAGTGAGTTCCAGGACAGCTATGGCTGTTACACAGAGAAACCCTGTCACACACACAGAGAGAGAGAGAGAGAGAGAGAGAGAGAGAGAGAGAGAGAGAGCGCAGTGAAGAATAATGGTGCCAAGATAACTAAGGACACAAGCTCCCAGGCCACGGCTGTGTTTCCCTCTACAGACAATCCCACACACTAAGGGCAGGACAGCGCTCCTGTTCTTGTTTTGAAATGCAGCTTAAATTTACAGCAGTGGTTATCTACCTGTGGGCCGAGACCTCTTTGGAAAACCTCTATTTCCAAAATGACTTACAATACTATAACAAAACTGCAGTTATGAAGTAGCAACAAAAAATAATTTTATGATTGGGGTCATAATAGTATGAGGAACTATATTAGGAAGGTTGAGAACCACCCATTCAAGGCATAAAATTACTACATCCACATTTTTATATTTGCTTAGGGATCAAACTATTACTGATTCTCAGTTACAAGTACAAGAAGGCTTACAAGCAATGACTGTTTCTTTTAAGATGGCTACAAGAATATTGTAGGCTTAACAGCAACGAGAAACCGTGAGCTAAACTAAAAGTGGATAAACTATGATTAAAACACAAAAATATTGGATATACTTCCATATTATGTTAAATCTAGCAATCCAGGCAAAAGAAAGAAGAAGGCTACAAAATAAGCGTGTAATAAGGTGGGCACAACAGCTGGCTGCCACTCTCGGAATCACATGTGGTTTGTTTCATTTAAGTCCAATCATGGACACAAGGGTATCAGCAAATACTTCTCAGGACAAAGCGAAGACATAGAGTAAGCCAGCACACCCGGTGTGGCTAAGGCTTGAATGCTTTTAATAGAAGTGTGGTTCTCACCAGATGCTAAGGATGGGGCAGAGAGCTGTCCTAGTACAATGGTGATGCTGTCACGTTTCTGTAATTTATTTCCACCTCCCCAGAATGAATTCCTCTCCCTTGGCTAGAGCACTTGTGTGGATTGGCTAGGAGTCAGCTCTAAGTGTGCCAAACGCTGTGCTGTTACACATAAGAGACTGGAGGGAGGCTAAAATGAGAGTGTAATATAAACAGGTAAGCCTTTTCAAATGTCCACCCTTCTTATGGACAGACTCATTTCTCTTTTCATTAAATGTGCAGATTTTATAATCAGAGGAACTGGTCATATTGTTTTACTCCAAGATGTATGCAGAATATAACTGAGAAGGGAAAGAAACCTTCAGTTTCTACCAGTGATATCAGCCCAAGCGGGCCATTCACATGAAACAGTAATTCAAGCAATTATTCCGAAACTTGATGCATTGTCTTCATTATAGCCCTAAGCTATAAAAGGCAAAGAATCTGTTTTGGTAGATGGATGGCCTTTCTTCAAATATTAAAAGCTAAAATATGCTCAAAACTTGGGTCTCGTCGCTAAGTCTTTAGGAAAAGTTATTATTGTTGTTACTATTAAGTGAATGGAACGGTGATAAAGATTTATAATAGGGCATACTGCTTTGTATATGAAATACCCTATTTCTGTTTAATTTTAAGATGGATTGTTTGGAAGGTACACTTTGTGAAAGAAGAAGGTACATTAACCTTAAGCATAGTGTTTGCTCCTGCAGCACTGACTGACTCACAAAGAGAAAATGCCAGACTCCAAACGATCAGCACAGCATGCAACCGTGACCTGTCGTTTTACACCTCAGCTCATCCTGATGCATGTCTTATGTAACAAATGTTGACCTAATGCAGCATGTTCAGAGAGGGTGCTAGGCTGGAACTGAAAGTTCAGAAATGACAGTGTTGGTTCTGTTCCAGATAGGAAAGGAGTGAGGTCACTAAAGGGCCTACCCATGGGATCTGGAGCCATAAAAACCACTCCATCTCAATGGTAAAAACAGAACAGTGTTTAGTAAGTTGAATGCAGTTAAATATCGTTCAAAAGCTGGTGTGAAAACAGGCCCTTCCTCTTTTTTTGCAAACAAAAGCAAAAATCCTTAAAGCATGATTATCTCTGTGAGAAATCACAGCTGATATTAGTTATTCAAGGCCTGGTTAGGTCTTCACTGAGATGTTACAAAATGACAGCTCCCCTCCTCACGCCTCGATTTCCTGCATGTCTGACAACCAAGTCAGTGTGGCTGATTTAAACACAAACATTTATTGAATTTAATTATCTCATTATACTCATACCCACTCCCCCACCCCCAAAGAAACATTCTAAATTGATCTCTAATTGGGCAATCAAAAGATCTGGCTTTCGATGTGACTTTGATAAACCCCCAAATGACATGCAATGGTATGTTGCCACGGCAAGAGGGTGGGCTTTTTCTTTTCTTCTTTTCCTTTTTTTTTTTTTTTTTTTTTTTTTTTTTTTTTTTGTTTGTTTTTTTTTTTTTTTTTTTTCTTTCCTTTTTCTTCTTTTTTTTTTTTTTTTTTTTTGTTTGTTTTTTTTTTTTTTTTTTTTCTTTCCTTTTTCTTCTTTTTTTTTTTTTTTTTTTTTTTTTTTTTTTTTTTTTTTTTGCTTACCCATCATATCCTTTGTCTTCTTGAAATGTTTGTACCACCTTCCAAATTCTTGACATTTTGCTGCTGAGACATTTGCATAGTACGTGCTGTTCACAATGGAGGAGATCATACTCTGTGTAGAGAGGGAATAACATGTATAATGTTCACATGGCACAAGGCGGGTACCACAACTTTAGCTGTGCAGAGCTATACCTGCTCCCAATTTCTCCAAATCATCTGGGACCAAAGCTTCAGCTTCTTAGAATTCGTTATATAGATCATCAAAAGCTTACTTAAGCTGCAAGCAGCCCCCACACCAGTGTCTGCTCTAGCACTATTTGCCCAATCTTCATCCACACAAATGTGCACCCATCCCAATTAATCCAAACTCACAAAACTGATATTAGGATATTTTGTAGCATGGTAACTGAACCCAAGATGTTTGCTACCTGAAGCAGAGTCCAGGCACCAGAGCCATGGACACTGCTGGGAAGCTTGTCTGAAATGTAGTTTGGAGCTCTTGCTACGACCTCCCGATCAACATCTGGATCTCACAAACACCCCTCAGCATGGCTAGACATGATCAGGTAGGAGAAATGGTTTTTGTATTTTCATGTTCACTGTATGGACTTCAGCTGCTGGTGAGGTTACAGTGCTCAAAGGTCACACATTGAGAGGCAAACTATCTCAGAAGACCAGCATCTTCAGACTTGATGGCTGGCTCTATCTAGTAAAGCTTGAGTTGTGAATTTCAAATGATCAGAAAATATATACATTTTGTGCTGATTAACATCTTAAGAGTCCCATCCACAAAGAAAAAGAAATGCGTATTTGTCATTTTTCTCTTGGAAAAAAAAGCCTTGAATAACTGGGCATTGTGGTGTTTGCCTTTAATTGCAGCACTTGGGAGGCAGAGGCAGGCAAATCTCTATGAATACTAGAGCAACCCAAACTTCTAAGTTCCAGTCCAGCTCAGACTATATAATGAGACCCTGACTCAAAGAAACAAATATAACAGAATTGAAAATATCCAGCCATATAACAAGTAAAAATAGGAGACAATGATGTTAATGTATCACTAATGTTTAAAATAAAGAGTAAAAAACACAACCACATTTTCAGTAAACAAAAGCATATTTTTCCAGATAATTTTGGCTACAGTAATTCTGTGACTTAACTCCTAGTTCACCTAGAGTCTCTAATAGCTAAATTAACTCCCTATTGAGTCTTAGGAGTGAGGCTGAAGCATCAAGCCTCCTGGTCCTGACAGCAGAAACTTAAGAGCTTACATTTCAGACCTGATTGGTCTACAGAGAAACAGCTTACAGAGAACTCCATTGTTGGGAGGCAACGAACAACCTGAAAAGCCAGTTTGGGGACAAGAATATTTTTATATCATTATCTTCTTTAAGCTACTTCAAATGTAAAGCTCTTTGGGCTATTATTAACTCTGACATCCGTCACCACGTTAATTTAGTAGCACACACATTCCTGTAATGTGTAAGTTTGGGGGTCTTCTAAAGAACTAGGAGTGATACATATGCTAGAGGTGCATTATTTATGTAAAACACAGTCATCTCTCCAATGAGGCACCGTGATAGCTTTTCCCCCCACACTTTCTACTTTATCGTCATTTTTACATTTTATTTCTCTAAAAAGACATTCTTAATGTGCTCTCGAAGACCTGCCATTAATCCAATAGCTTGCAATTTCACTAAGAGCCTCCCCCAGTCCACAGTGCAAAAAGACACTTAGCAAGGTGCCAAAACCAGAGAGAGAGGATGACTACCTGACACGGTGAGCAATCCACTGGCTTCCATCTCACTTACTCTCCTGTATCAAGGGATCAATAATGTGGGGCTCTAATAAAACTATTGTGATCACTGGTAGATAAAAGTGAGTCTGCAGACAGATGACAGCTGATGTTCTTTCACTCTGACCCAATTTCTGAAAACATTATTACTCTTTACCTAGTCAGTTTGACACCTTCCTGTTACTACAACACAGTATGGAAGGCCATCCTTTTGGAAACGCACAGGCTTCCTATATTCTGCAGAGGTCTTCACTTAGTACCCGTTCTACTTTGTTTCCCGAGTTCTACATATTACATATGCTTGTTGATTCACTGGCTGATATAGAGGACACAAGTTGGGTAAGACACAGCCTCACAGCCTCTGCCCCAAAAGTTTGTCACCTATTAGGAAGTAGGTGATGTATTAGGTCATTTCAATAGAATGTGACTCTTTGTACCAATAGTGGGAGGAAAGGGGAGAGTGCTTAATGTGGGTGAAAAACATCCTGAAATACTTCAATAAAATTAAAGCTCATATGCAAAAGTGTTATGCAGTTCATTATTATCCATATGTAGAAAATAACATCCATATGTGCCCCATCTTCAAAGCTCCACTGCCCCTCATAACCCTAATCTGTAGGCTATGTCCTAAGTGATTTTTCTGTTTGTAAAAATACCCTCTGTTCCTCCCTCCTTACTTCCTCACTGGCTTTTATTATCTGATAGCGCAGAGCTGCCAAAAGATGCCTTCAATGCTCCACTGAGAAGGCCTAGCAGCAAAGGTGCCGGCTAACCCTGATTAGAAGGCTTCAATCCTCAGGACTTACATAACAGACAACTGAATCCTAGACATTTTCCTGTGACCCCCCTCCCCCCCCACACACACACAATTAGGACACTTTAAATAACAGAAGAGTAACAGATAGAACTTTCAAAATGAGTCTTTTTGTGTACATGTGGATATGTGGAAACTGGAGGTTAGTATCCGATGTCTTTCCTAGGCACCCTCCACCATATTTCCAGAGACAGTCTCTCACTAAATCTAGAGCTCATGGATTCAGCTGACTGACCGGCCACAGGGTCCCCCTGTTCCACCCCTTCAGCACTGGAACTGCAAGCTGCTGCTCAAGGCTCTTCATGTGTGCGCTGGGGATGCATCTCAAGTCTTCGTGCGTGTGCAACAAGCACATTACCATCTGAGACGTCTCCCTATCTCCACAGGACTGAAGGACGCACTGATTAAACGTGGGCAAGGGAAAGCAGGGCAAACAGAAGGGAACACCTTCCCATTTGTTTCTACACCTCAGCTCAGTGAAGCTGGGGTGCATCTCACAGCACATACCAGGAAGACGCACCTAAACCTCACACCTGGACGAAGTGCCAGGCTCCTCCATCTCAGCTTAGGAGCTTCAGGCTCTAAGGCTGATTCTGCCAGGCCTTTCCACCTTCCTGAATTAAAACAGGCTGAGCCATTGCAGCTACCACTCCCTACACTGAGAGTTCTCTAGACTTATCTCCAGACAGCCTGGATGCTCAGCATACGGCTGAACACACCTGGTGATGGCAGGCCACCGAAAGAAGCCAACTTTGGGTCACTGGGACATCCTCCTCCCCCTTATCCTTCAAGGTTAAAAGCAACAGCATTATTGTCAAGTGAACCTTTAAATCCCAACTTGCTAGCCACAAGAGCCTCTGTTCAATAATCTGCAAGCAATCCTCTCCAGGTTTTTCAAATCAACCCCACAGCTGTCTCCAAAGAGGCTGGTGGTTGCTGCTCTGTTCCCTTGGTATCTATTTGTGTAAGTGCTTTGAAAGACACAGTTTCTGTGGCAAGTTTTCTAGTCAGTCGGTGGCCAGTAGGGTAAAAACATCAACGTTCTGGGAGTCAATGAACCCAACTGACTAAATCTCTGATGCTAGAAATTCTGAGTTCAAATGCTGCTGCAGGGCACACCAACCAAAACACAGGCCGAGGATCCCAGTGTTGGGAGATAGAATTTAAAAAAGTTGGCAGAAATTGGCTATGGGTCTCCTAACCCCTGTGTGACACAATATTCTCATCCTAGGAGCCAAGTTGTAAGCTTTTCTAAGATCCATGAAGCACATGTCTACTCCCTATGAGGAGCTTGGCTCTTTCTGAGTCTGCTAAAGTTCCGATCTGTAAGGATGCCATCTTCCCAGAAACCCCAGCCCTCTAGAAGGATACCATCTGCCACAGGCTGAGCCTCCTTTTCAGCCAAATACATTATTTATAACCTTTCTAATTGTGAAAAGGTAAGGGTGGAATTTTTCTAAAGCCTGACTTACATATTGTTGGAACATTCGGAACCTTTGCTCGAAAATCTGCAGGTCTCTCAATGTGAAAAACAGAAAAACCGAAAGGAACTGGTTGAGGTTATATAATTTTCCCAAATGTTATCTTTCAAGCCCCAGCTAGGGATTCACACACGATATAGTTAGTGTATATGTAGAACGCACTGGAAAGCAAAGAAGGTGGGCTTGACTGTTCAGCTTGGTCATCTTAGTGGCCAATGGGGACTGGTGTGGGAGAAATGCAGCCTTTTCAAGAACAGGACTGTCCACCAGGGAGGGATGGTGATCTGATTACCCTGAAAATTGCTTTGTTGTGCCTTTAACAACCCCCCTCAAAAAAAAACACCCCAAAACAATGCTAATCAGGTTATTCAATCATTTAAACCAAAACTGTTCATGCTTTTCTGCCAAATCAACCAACCACAGCAAAATCTGTTATCTCTGATTGCTCAGCTTCCAGTCAAAAAAACCAGTTAACCCCCACTATTCCAAAACTTTTCCAAAACACCCAAAACAGGGCAAGCTACAGAGAAGGGGGGGAGGCCAGACCCTTTTTCAAGAGGTAGGCGCTGCTCAGCATTTGCATACAACAATACACTCCTAGAGGCCTGGCAGCTAGCAGCTCCCTAGTGTTTCTGAGGTCTCTATGCTGGCCTTCTGCTGGGGCTGGGGCTTTTTGGACAGGACTTCGATCCCAGGATTCTAACTTGCTTGGGACTTGAGTCTGGGTTAACTGTGGTGGGAGGAGAGAGGCAGCTTCTACAAAATGGTGGCTCACCCATGTTGAAAGCTTGCCGGCTCCTTCAGCAGAGAGGGCAAGGGCTAGCACATCTTATTTACACAATTATCTAAATACGATTAAACAGCTGATGGACAAATATTAAACTGGAAAATGTATAGTCATTTCAGCTTAATGTAATCCTCTTTCTGTAAACACCCAAGATGATTTTTTTTTCCAACCAGAACAGTCCTGACATCTCCTAAGCCTAAGGGTGAATAGCAAGAGATTGTTTTTGATAGTTATAAAT